TTGATTTCTGTGGTCTGCAATGACACATGGGAAGCTGTTTTAAATGAGCTCTTTTGAAACAAGTCGGAGTTGTTAGCTTCCATCATAGCATGACACTCGCATTCAGCAAGTCAGTTCATGTGTTCCCCCAGTGCTGCTAAGGGTGTGTAGCATCTTAACGACATACAGCACCTTAACGACAAATTCTCCTACTCTGAGAAAGGGATCACTTCTCTTGCTTATTAATATGAATGTAGGCTCTATTACCAGAGTTGTTACTCAATCCCTCCCTGCTCTGTCCGATCTTAAGAGGTTTTTGTCTTTGAAAATACAAATGGAGGATTGTCCTTAGCAGCTATGACAGCACTCTTTAGATTGCAAAGAGCTTTCTCGGGCATGTACATTCATCAGCAATTTGAGGGAATGTAGGTATTTTTCTCCAACGCTGGTCAAATGAAGTCAGCAGGGCTTTTCTCCCCTCCTCAGCCAGGGCACACTTATCCTTCTTTATTTTTTTTTTTACAGCACTCTTTAGATTGCAAAGAGCTTTCTCGGGCATGTACATTCATCAGCAATTTGAGGGAATGTAGGTATTTTTCTCCAACGCTGGTCAAATGAAGTCAGCAGGGCTTTTCTCCCCTCCTCAGCCAGGGCACACTTATCCTTCTTCTTGCTGCGTAGCACTTGGATCACCCCATCTTCTGAATAAAGTCATGCTTGCTGCAGTGAGCTCTGAAGACAGGTTTGGATGAGTCAAAATGGAAGAGCGCTGAGGGAAATCTGGCCTGTGTTGGTGGCGCACTGGTTCCGAAAGGCTTTGGATGCTGCCAAATTCAGCCTGGAGCATGAGCACCCAGCATAAAAGATGTAGCTGAACTCTAACCTGTGGAAAATAACAGTTGGAAGCAGTTCTGAAGTTTTCTTTAGATCAACTCCAAGTCTGTGCTGTCTTTTGCGTGCTGTATTATTTACATTTACTTATTTTTATATTTCAGTCAAAAACTAAACCCAAGAGAGTAAAAGCAATTTACAACTGTGTAGCAGATAACCCAGATGAGTTAACTTTTTCGGAGGGAGATATTATTGTAGTCGATGGTGAAGAAGATCAGGAGTGGTGGGTGAGTATTCTGCATTTTCCGTCAACATACTTTGAAAGAAATAAATGAAATCTGGAGGTTGACACTGACTTCAGAGGATCCCCCGCTGGGTTTCCATATAACAAAAGTTTCATCTCATGGAAACTTGATTCCAGAAATTTCTTTTGTTCAGAAATAAAACTTCAGATATGTTTTTGGCTTTTCTCATTCAGAGGAAAAAAACCCCCAACTCATTAGTAGAGTTCACAATGTACAGGGGACATGGTCTGTTTGATTCAGGAAATTCTTAGAGGGTGTTGGCAGTTCAAGAACCTGCCACTATTTCATCTTCCTTGAAGATGCTGTGTGGTGGGCCTCAGAAGACAGCTTTGTGTTGTCCTAACTCTTCAGCTGACTGAGACTGAGAAGTGGTCTATTTGAGCTGGGAAACCATCTCAACTATTTACCTTCCAGAGTCTCATCAGCTAAAGCAAAGTCTTGGAAAATTACTATGCATGAAAACACTTGCCTTACTGTGATTGTGAGCCAGCAAAGAGAAGAACTTCAGATTGCATCTAAATTGACAGTAATGCTGCGTAAATGCAAATAGATTCATGTAAAACCCAGAACTGTTGAGGCTTGATCCATCCTTTTAACTTTCCGTGGTTGTTAAGAGGGGGAAGCAGAAGCAGCTTCACAGAGGCAGAATACGGGCTGCCAGGCATTGCGGAATGCACTGGAATGATGTAGCAGTGGTAGTGTATTAAGAGGTGTTACTTTCAAAGAACTGGATAAAACAGAATTTGAAAAAAAAAAATCTCTATAACCGAATAACAAATGCACCTTATAGGACTGAATTTTCTGATAATATTTCCCATTCATGAAAAAAAAAGAACACCACTGCAGAAAAGATGTAGGAAGAGGCTCGTCGTACTACAGGCAGGAAGGTCACTGGTATTCATTTTGGTGATACTGAAACACCATTTTGAGATTAACTTGAAAATTATCTGGACTCTTTCAGATCGGTCATATTGATGGAGATCCCAGTCGGAAAGGAGCTTTCCCTGTATCATTTGTGCACTTTATCGTTGACTGAATTGCTACTGATAAGTGGGGACATTTCTCATTTCCAGTGGTCACAGACATAAGTTTTGTTCTATTTCATTTCATCTACCTATCTGCAGACACCTTGCCAGAGCACTGCCCAAGTCCTAGGTACTGTAGCTTACTTTTTTTATTGCCATCATTCTGATTTTGGGACTTCTAGAACTTTTTTCTATGTGAAAACTTCTCATGAGCAGTTTACACTTTAAAAACAACTCTTCCTGTATTTTTCAAGGTGAACTGAAAAGCTTTAACAATCAAAATCCATATAAGTGTGTGAACATCACAACATCATGAATGTTCTTTTTCAATCAATTCACTGTAATTTTATTCTCCCTGTTGTAACATGACAATACCATGGTTCAGTGTTGCTTCCCCAGTCAAAGAAATTGTGTGCACCTAACAGGGCAGTGAATTTATCCAGTTCTCGGTACCATTTGAAGTGTTGGAACCAAAACATGCAAGCTGCTGCACAGTTCTAAACTAGACTCCTTCAGCGTCATCCAGGATGTCCACAATTACAGAAGAAACAGTTTTAATCGGGTGTCTTTGGCCAGGTAAAAGTGAAAAAGTATTTCAGTTTACCACAGGAGAAACTTTTTTCTTTCAGAATGGATGTAGATATTTCCTTACAGTTATCTGAAATCTGTGTTAGTCGTTGAAGTTTCTAGTTCTAATTTTGTGAGCTTCAGACTGTTTAATTTTTTCTGTGCTGCACGTGTGTGGAACCTGTTTTTTGAATGTTCTTTATGTATGTTACATCCATTTTGGTCATTTAATGTGACTACTGCTGGTTAACTAAACTATGGCAATATTAATGAGTTACTACATTAACTCAAGGATATGAAAACTGCATTTCCTGAAATGTACTTAGCTATGATGATGGATTGCAGAGAATTTCTTACACTTGTCTCATTATAGTGTTTAGACTTTGTTTTTGAATTCTTGCATTTTCTTAAATCATCCAGCAATGTGTTCACAGAGAGAACATATTTGGTGGAACACTTAGAAAGTTATCCTTGGTCAATAAGGTATCTTACACCTCACAAGTACACTACGTTATGTTCTGGTTTATAAGATTTGTGTGCCACTACCTTGCAACCAATGATGGTTTGCTAACTCACTCTGTATTTATATAATATACCCACATATATGGTAGCTACACTGTTGTTAAATTTGTTTTACTAATTTGTGAACAAAGGCTAGGCCACGGATGGTTCCCAGCTGGTTGATGGAATACAAAACACCAGTACAAATCTGGCATCATTTTGATGTTTTCTATATTGTGAAATTCTACCAATTTTTGCTTATGCTACAGGAAACAACTGATGGCATAGGATAAGAAAAATCAATGTCTAGGTCACATTGGCTTTGATCACGTTTTGTGAATATTGTATCTCTAGATTTATCAAGAGAACTTGAATTTCTGGCAAATGGTGTTTAAATCGGCCATTTTGTGTCGAGCAGAATGGAAAATAGGCCACTGCCGTATATGCTTATTTGGAGGAGAATCACATTGCGTTAGCGCTGGAAGAGCAACACTGATCTTGCCTTGCATCGCCTCTCCTAAATGGTACAGTTGGTTGATAGCCTCTCCAATGCGTGGGGGCAGCCAACCCTATGTGTAACTTCACATTTTCTAGATGCTGTTGCTGCAGTATAAATGGGGAACAAACTGGAATGTTTCAAGATATTTTTGTTGCAAGTTGAAGCAAATTAGTCCGTATTTTCAAAGTTCCCAGTAAAATGATAGAGTAATAGTTTAGCACTAGTTTTATTCACTTACTGATATGTTCAGTTTGCAACACTATTTTGTATGTTTCTATCCCTGATAGAGTCTAGAGAGTAAATGGGCATATTATTTTGCACAGATCTCCTAATGTACAGTATTTTTAACACAGAATCTTATCGTGTATGTAACAGCTCGTAAAGTTAAACGATGCAAACTTTCCTCGGGTTCTGCTAGAAGAGGAATAACCCTTTAAAATGTCACAACCATGTTCACTTAGAAACTAGGAAACTGGTAGAATACAACTTAATAGCACTAACAGTGCAGACAGATGAAATCTTGAGGACCAATAAAGAGCAGCTAAGCAAAATTTATCCTAGATTTTCCATGATTGTCAAAGTTTGCTCCTCTGGCAGAGGAAGAAGAAATTCTAGAGCCTGTAGATACCTATTTATAAAATAAAAGTAAGAATTTTAAGTCCAAAATTTTGGCATATTTCATACAACTTTTCAAATCTGATTGAAATGATGATTCAACAAACCTGTTAATAGACAGACTATTAGGTTGCTGTGTTAACTGTTTAAAAAGGAGCAAGTGACACTTAAAATGCAGCTTAGAATGCTATGAGATGTATAATATTCAATTCAGTTGTTTTTATTTTGTTTAGTTGCAGAGCAACTGTATATATTGTATAACCTAAAATCAACTCTTATTTTCAATGTCCTGGATGCAGTGATTTATAATTAGAGCATGATTAATAAATTTTACTCTTGTTAACCAGTCAAAGGTCTGGAAAAATAAAACTACTTTTAAAATCACTTTGGCTACTTCTGTTGTTCTGCATTGCTTAGGCAATGTTCTTTTCAATGTGCAAAACGAGAAATAGAAACAAGTAGCACTTGAGCAAAAAAATACACGTTGTGTGGATTTTTAGTTGAATGTAGAAACTGTGTAGGTGGCACACCTATGATTAAATTAGAGATGTAAAGCACCAAGTGACTACCTCTTGCCCCTTTGCTGTTGGTGTTTTGTCCTGATACCTGATAGGCAGAACTGAAGTCCATATTAACAAATTGTTTTTCATACAAAGAGATAGAAGCATCAGTTTTATTTTACATTTCTACAATATTGACATTAATATACAAAACATGATTTAGGGAAAAAAATAATGTTAAATATAAAATTCTGTATTGTCCTGGAAACTGAAGATGGAGTAATTTCTTCAAGTCATGTCTGGGGAATGACGAAGTACCATGTGCAAGGTTGCGTGGCTCTCCTTTGCACAGCAAGTCTTTTCTAGGTTCGTGTGTAGCTACAGCCAGCCTGTGGTATCACGGAGCCCCATTTCCTCCCCACACAAAGGCTTCAGGTAGTACAGAGCCATGTGTTGCTGAAGAAAATCAGGACTTCTCTGACATTAAAACTGAATCAAAGGCTGTAGATAACACTTTGCAAATAGCTTGCGCTTGTTCCTAAAAAAAGCCAAACACGCACATTAATGCTTTCTGAAGAACTTCTAAATGTCTCATTTAAGCAGAATGTGACCTTTATTATTCCTCTGGCAGAGACATGCAAAATGGAGTAGCACAAGCGAGACTTAATTTGATTTCTGTGGTCTGCAATGACACATGGGAAGCTGTTTTAAATGAGCTCTTTTGAAACAAGTCGGAGTTGTTAGCTTCCATCATAGCATGACACTCGCATTCAGCAAGTCAGTTCATGTGTTCCCCCAGTGCTGCTAAGGGTGTGTAGCATCTTAACGACATACAGCACCTTAACGACAAATTCTCCTACTCTGAGAAAGGGATCACTTCTCTTGCTTATTAATATGAATGTAGGCTCTATTACCAGAGTTGTTACTCAATCCCTCCCTGCTCTGTCCGATCTTAAGAGGTTTTTGTCTTTGAAAATACAAATGGAGGATTGTCCTTAGCAGCTATGACAGCACTCTTTAGATTGCAAAGAGCTTTCTCGGGCATGTACATTCATCAGCAATTTGAGGGAATGTAGGTATTTTTCTCCAACGCTGGTCAAATGAAGTCAGCAGGGCTTTTCTCCCCTCCTCAGCCAGGGCACACTTATCCTTCTTTCTTTTTTTTTTTAAATTGAGCAATCCCCCTTCTGCCAAAAAGCCTTCACAAGGGCCTTGGGTTTTAGAATCTCCCTTTACACTCAAAATACCGATACCTAAATTAAATGTACTGTAAACATAAACTCTTACCAAACTATTGCACTGATACACCCAGAGGCTGCATTCTTCAGAGGTTGCATCTGTTGTCTTCAAGGCCAGTAAGCTTTTTCCTGCTCCCAGACCGTCATCATAGCAGACCATCCGTACAATTAAATAGAGAGCATGCCTGTGTAACACATCCTGAAACCACGGGGCAAATAAAAGTTACTCCGGAACAGTGCAACAGCTATTTCAGTTTTCCACGTTTTGGTTCTCTTTTACAAAAGAATACTTCAGATTTATTTACAGGAGGAAAGTATTCCTTCGTAAAATTCCAACTTTTTAAAGTAAGTCCTGGTTTAACACAATTTTAGCCTTAATTTTTGCTTCTATTTTAGAATTGCATTCACACGTGGACTACATTCCTGGCCATACTATGAAAGCAGACATTTCGTTTCCCACCTATCCTCACTCACCCACAGTGAGTAGGACAGGCGTTACACTCCGTACCTCCGGCACAGGGATAACTTACAACCACTTGTTACTTTTCCAGTATTTTTCACGACAATCCCCAGTCTCAGTTGCGGGAAAGGTACACATAAAAAACTTTTCCCAGAAGAGGGCATGGACAAGGCTGGCTGCTTTGGAGGGTGGTGGGATTCCTGTGGACGCAGCCAGGCCACTCGTGGCCTGAGCCACAGCATGTGTCCCAACCCTTGCAGAGATCTAGTCTGGGAGGCTTCTACTCTCCACCACCGTTGCAGGGTTTCACCACAGTCCCAATAGTTCTGATCTTGGTCATTCCAGAGAGAGGCTGGTTGATATCATTCAGTACAAGGTCTCCGCAGACCCACCCTACACAAAGCCTTTCTTCCCAAGCCATCCTACGCAACCGATAATATTCATCTGGTTTATTCCAGTCATACCACCTCTAGGGTCTTAGACCCCAAGGCAGCTCTTTTCCTGTGTTCATGGCATCAAACACCTTGCCCCTAGCAGTAGCTGAAGGGTCTGAAGAAATGTCTGCTTTGATACCGAAGCTGTAAAAATGGACAGTGAGCTTGATGCCTGCTAGGAAGCCCTCAAGGGAGGGCCCTCTCTCTACCAGAGCTCCTAAGATCACCTTGCTGAAAAACATCCTCATCCCTGACATTCACTTGGCAACTGCTCACAATTGTTCATACCATCACCAACTACTGAACCACGCTGAAGGCAGCTGGAGCCGACGTGGAACTTGCTGGACCAACCCTCCACTCTCTGCCTGAAATGTGCCAAGATTTCCCTCCAAATTACTTCCAACTTTTTATCATTACTTGCTTGGAACTTGCTAATGTGCAGGTGGATTATCACTGAAAGAAAGAGGACAGAATTCTTCAAAGTACACGTTCCCCCTGTATATGAATTTCCTCCCCTCCTTCTGGTATTTAGCGATGAGGGGATTCTGCAGTTGAGAGAAACAAGATGGCAGATGGACAAACCATGCCATACATGTATGTACAAACATATAAGGTACAAATACATGCAGATGGAATGTGAAGGCGGCCAAAGCCTCAGTGTGACTTCTATAAATACTTTGCCTTCGGTTTCTAGTGGTTGCATCCACAAACAATGGAAACATATCAGTGAATTACGGATCTGTACATATTTCAGTCACTAGTGAAATAATTCCTCAAACGTTGGCATGAGGACAAATTTTGTGTCCTACAGTCATTTCTCTTTTTGGCGTCTGAAATAAATAGCTGCCTTTTCACCTGCAAAGGTATCTACAAATCACAGAACTCTCACCTTTCCCCCAAAGTCATAAAAGACTGAATTCTTTGTATGCATGCAGAGAAAACACTTCCATCTTGGAACTCTGTGAAAAGAGTTTACACGGACTAACCCACTAAATGACAAATGTCAACAGCGACACAGATGCAAAAAGCTAGAATTTGGGAAACAGAATGCAATGCAGTAACAATGCCAGTGCAAGCTAGCTTAATCACAGAAGGCTTTATCAGCTTGTGCATGCTTTCAGCTTGAAGCCAGAAGAATAATGGGTAAAAGTCTCTACCTATTTGATCTTTATCAAAGTACAAAATAATTTAAATAATAGGGTAACCTATGTTCTTAATGAGAATTAAGAATTTAGGAGGACAGCAAAAACAGAACCCAGAAGAATTCAAAGTTTGAGTGACAACTACTACACTTCCTCCCACGCATTAGAAACAAGCGGTTTATTTTCTGAAGGGACCAAAGGGAACTTTTTGGCTCTCTTCAGAGTGTTCAGCTATTGAGCAACGCTATTCACCGTCCTCACACTCATGGCTTTTATGAACAGGCATTGCTGGATTGTTGATGGGTCATGACTTCATAAGGCCAAGTATTTATGGTATCTGGGGCTCTGAGGGCAACCAGAAGGAAACCACATGGCTGCAATACAAAGCTACACAAAGGCAACTGGAGGGCCCTGGGGAAGAGACCGGATTTTTATTTTTAGCAGAAAAGCTACTTGAAGCGCGCTGAAGGAAAATAAATTACATGTAGGAAATGATGCAAACAAAAAGACTTGATCAATAAAATGGAATCATGAGGCTTTAACGCTGGAGTGAACTCACACTCTTGGATTAGGAGTGCAAGGCTGGAACTTTAAAGAGGAAGACAACTCAGGTATTCTTGAAAAAAACACCCGTTGTTTTTTCCTCTCCACAATAACATCAACAAAGCCAGAAGTGACATTTTGGTCACACAGATCACCTGTCAGAAATACATGAAAGCGCTTTTCAACTCTCACCAGAAAGACAGTTTGTTGTGAATCACTTACATACTGATCAGATGTTGAAACTTTAATGCCATATTTGGAAACTCCCATAATAAACTCCTCTTCACCTGGAACAAAAGGTAACTTTCCATCTTGCTTTGGAGGGAAACAAACAAAAGCCTTTAGTGCAGACAGAACATGAATAATGAAGATACATAATAGAGGATGTGTTTATGGGTACTTCATCCGCTGGATCAGCAGCATCACTAACCCTGCTCGTATCTTGCTGTGTGGAGTCTGCCTGCCACTCTTGCACTCGTCCAATCCCTTAACTTTATGTGACATATATTCAGGGGAGGTTCATACTGGACATTAGGCAGCATTTCTCTTCCAAGAGGGTGGTCAGACACTGGAAGAGGCTTTCTAGAGAGGTGGTTGATGCCTGAAGCCTGTCAGGGTTCAGGAGGCATTTGGACAACGCCCATAATGACATGCTTTAACTTTTGGTCAGCCCTGAAGTGGTCAGGCAGTTGGACTAGATGATCGTTGCAGGTCCCTTCCAGCTGAAATATTCTATTCTGTTCTAAATATTACATGATTCCAGAAAGGAATTTATCATCTCAGGTGGGAGTTTGGCCCTGTGGACAAATCAGATGGGCTGAAAAATAATGTCATGCTGCACTGACCCTGGATGATTTATGTTCCACATTGGCAGCCATTTTGTTATTTGGCTGTAAAAGTAGTTTTAGCATATATTCAGATACCTGAAATATCAAGTTGCTGTAAGATAAACAGACATTCTGTGCTTTTAAGGATACAAACGATCAGCTGCCTAATGAGGACAACCAGTTACAGCTTTTGGTACAAAAATAAGTACAAGCAACCACAGTTTGGCAAGGATGACCCAAATACTATTCAGGTTCTTTGGTCACAGGTTCGCAAGTGATTGTAAGCAGAAACTTGGCATTTTCCTCTATGGGAAAACGTCTACAGAAAAAAATCTTTCCCAGATACTAATCTTAACAGTGCTGAAGATAATATAACACCGTTCAGTTGGGATACTTGCTCAGTAAAGATTTGAGATTCATAGCTTAATGTTTTTTAAAGTAAGCTACTTTATTCTAGTAAGTCTAAAATTTACAAAGAAAGATGTCAGATCACGTGGTAATCTGAAAGAAATACACCTAAGCTTAAGATGTTGTGACGTTGCTGGTATTTTCTTTTGTAACCCACTTACCTGTGCAACATCTATGTAATTTATCAAGTCCAATGGTCCTTCAAGATTTCTGCTGTCATTATATTTTAATTTTTCAATGGCACCAACATATTTAACTCTGAATTCTGCACACGTATCAGAATTACTATTGCTTTGTCCTGCAACAGAATAAAATAAAGCAATTCTGAAGAACTGAAGAACAGTAATCCTATTCTAACTGGTGTCAACGGAGCTAGCGTTAAATTCCTTAATTTTTTGCAGACTTTCATCAAGAATTAACCCTACTACAGTATATTACCTCCTCTCTTTAATGAACTGTCCTGGGTTGATCCAGAACAGCCCTCAGTAAAGGCAACAATTTCATATGAATCCATGATACAGCACTGTTCATAGCAATTCAAATTTGGAGTTAAATCACATTGAATCAGAAAATATGGAAAAGCTGATTCTCCTAATTTTTTTTTTTAAATGAAATTAACGGTTTATTCCAACAGTAATGTAGTGTGATCTGGTAAGCAAGAACAAGTAAAATCAAATGTTATCCATTATATGGGTGCAAATGTAAACTTATAAAACTATGAACCTAGCTTCCAAAAAGTTATACCAGATTTATGCTAACAGACTGGTAACACAACTAACCTTTTCTTACTCAGACACTTTACTTCAAAAATAGTGACTTAATCCTAGATGAATCATTGATAATACTTTAGAAGTCTAGAGTTATACAGTCACTAGTCAACACGCTAACAGATTCACTGACAATTATTAAAAACACGTATTTTAACCTTTTCCATTTTCTGCTCTTTTATATGAACACACATAAAGTTAATCCTGCTCCGTACACATCTGCTCAAATTCTGATTACATACCTGAACTTTTCGTGGAGTCTGTATCTAGACTAGCCACAGTACTAGACCTGGAAAGTCCCCCAAGACTGGAATCTACAGACTAAGAAAAAAATCACTATCATCAGAAAGTTAGTGAGAACATATTTACAATTCGCTTTTAGATGCCCTGCCTCAACTGTTTTTTAAAATAAACTAGCATTTATGTTCTAATTACTTAAGCAGCACTGCAAAATGAGGGGAAAAGAACAATAACACCTATTTCTTTCCTGAAGTTATATTTCTGCCTCAATGTAGATTAGACCGATAGAAATTTAGCGGGAACCCTTGAGAAGTCCACAAATATTTTGAAAGGAGGAGGATATAAAAGAAAAAGAGAAAATGAACCTTAAGGTTATGTCCAGACTTGTCTGGTACTGCATCTTAACTTGAAGAAATTGACAACTACATGCTTGTCACCAATGCTTGAAATAACATTGCAGTGCAAGGGAAGTGAAACGGCACCTTGGAAAATCCAGAATATTCAACTGATCATTCGAAAACCTATCAGACAAAATGGACACATTATTCAAAACGAAGAATACTTTTTAAAGACACTGAGTAACCAACCAGTACTGAAGAATAAATTCATTCTTGGTACCCAGCACCAGGCACCTTCTTAAAGACAATATTTATCACTACAGAACAAACGTACCACTTTTTCCTCCAAACCGTAGTTATTGTGCTGCCAGAAACTCTCGTGTTTGTGGGCTTCACTAGGGAAGCAACTGAGCATTCATCTCGGAATACAAGGGCTCTATAACGGATAGGTTTTTTTAACTCTCACAACACAATCTGAGGAATAGCTGAAGTAGAAAGCTCTCCTTGTGGAACACGGCATTTGATGGACATCACATCCTACAATCAGTGCAAGCGAACCACTGAACTGTCAACGTGTAACAAATGAAAGTGCTTCTGTAAACAGAGTATATACCAAATTCAGCTTACCTTGCTCTTCGTACTGATTTCACTGCTTTGTGAGCTGCTGCTGCTGTGTCGTTTTTTCCCTTTTCTAAACATTTTTTCATAATTGCATCAAGGAAGATCTTCTAGGCAGGAAAAATGAAAATTAAAGCTGTCATATCATCAAGGGAAGGAGTTCCTGGCAAACGCCAAAGCAAATGTGTCCAAGTGGACAAAAACTGGAAACTTGTAAAGGACTCTAGGAATGGAAGCAGGAACGTGCCTCTGGTGCTCTTCACGTGACTGGGGAAAAACCCTCCAGCTCTCTGCTAAAACCCCTCTGTCCTTCTGATTCATCAAAAAAATGCTGCTACCTCGTTTACAGAATGTTGCAAAGGTCAGTTTGTAAGGCATATAAAGACACAGATTTAGAAACAAGACAAATTCTAAAATTCATATTCCCACTTAAAAGCATTAGAAGATTTTTATCTGTAACTGCAATCTAAGTGTCCTACAAAGTGCATCCAGTGCAATCCCTGCTCCAAAGATTATGCTCCCGTTTAAAAAAACAAAACACCACAAACAAATAAAAATCCTTACTTCTGAAGAACTACTGATTGCAATACTTCTAGTAGCAGCCATTACTACTGAACATGTTCCTGAAAATTAAAGCAAGAAGCATGTTACCTTTACTGCCTTAGAACTGAGTTACTGGGAATTCTGAGAGTATTCCAGAAGCATTTTTCCTGTATCTGCCCTACTACTTCAGTTGCTTCACTTAACGTTTGCCCGGCCAGTGTCAAGAAGCAGGATGCTGGCTCCCAGTCAGCGAGTGCCAAAACCCTATTTCCCAGCTTCAGAGAAGAACATTTTAACGACAAAGCTTCAGAAACTGCGAGCAGGTGGAAGGAAGGAGGAAGACAGCCTACGGAGGACGGCTCATACTCCAGAAAATAACGGAAGGCACACAAGGAGGAGCTTAGATCTGTGATGTGGTGCAGGGTTACAGTCCCCGGACTGCTGCTGTGTGTCTCCTTAGGCAAACACTCGGTCCCTGGCAGACCAAAAGCCACCCTCAGCCACAGAAGCGCGGGTCCCAGCGGGCCCACGGCCCTCGGTGGGCCCCACAGCCCCTCCCTCGCAGCAGCAGCTGCCGGAACGGGGCCAGATCTGCCGATCCTGCCGGCAGTCTCCGAGGAAGGCACAAATC